GTGAGGCTGCACGTGTGGGGGGCCCGCTCCCCGAGGGGGAAGGAAACAAAAAAGAGAAGGCCCAGTACAAAAAAAAAAAAAAAAAAAAAAAAAAAAATTGACATTTTTGTTTTGAGAAAAAGACCTTTTGTAGGCTAATTGTATCCATTTTCTAAAGAATTTATCTTGGTTTTTATGATGATGTGTCTACAAAATGTAGGGACAGCCCTCACTTTATGATCCAGTTCATTTTTTGAATCCTGAATAGCAAGGTTTCCCTGTCCTGCTCTCTCTCTGCCTGGATAACCTGGGGCCTCCATCTCAGACTCTCTGGGCTGTATCAGTTCCTTAGAAAATGACGGGGGTGGACCTTCCAGGACCAAATGCTGGCATCCTGTGAGTATCAGGGGCTTGTTCTAAATAGGTTATATTTTAGTCTTAAAGGGGAGTTTAAAGCAGTGGATCTTAGCCAGGGACATTTCTGTCCCATGCAGGCCATCTGGGAAGTTTAAGGACATGTTTTTGGTGGCCCCAGTGATGGGAGGTTTTATCATCCATAAATTCCATTTCACTTCAGAAGAGTAAAGGGGGCATTACCAAACATTTGATATAAAAAAGGAGCTCAGGGCCTGACAGGGCTGAGAACCATTGCTTTAAAGGGTAGCTAATGGTAAGAACAGTAACAGCATTACTATAATAATATTATGATGATGGTATTTGGTTGCTAGATTTTGGTTTGGGGAATACAGGAAGAAGGGGTGCTAAGGGTTCCCTGACCTTGTGTTCAGTTTGAGCCCATAATGGGCTGGAAAGTTGAAAACAGGAACAGGGGCCACAGTAAGGGTTGTTTAGAAAACACCCGATGGGGACCCCTTGCTTCCCGGTTATTTCTAGCTCTCTCTGTCCCCAGGGCCTCTGGTGACTGTGGGGTCGGCTGGTGACCTCTGTTGACTTCTGCTGGTTGCAGAATCGTGCATTCACACGATGTCCTCATAGGTTAAGCTGCGTTCCAGAAGTGCATTCCTCCACACCCTCTGGGGAGTGGTAGGGAAGTGTCTGCCCACGTTCCCCTTAGAAAAAGCATGCTTCGTCAAGCTTGTGGCCTTTGAACTCTTCGGCAGAACTATATAGAGCCTTTGCTGATTGCTTTTCCCTGCGTGTGATATTATCAGCAATGATGTTATGTAAAATAACATTTCTTCTCAAAGGATGGTCATGATAACAGAAATAATGGATTTTATTAGCACACACCATGTACCAGGCTCTGTGTTGAGTGCTTTAATGCTTGTATGAACGCCATGGGGCCAGTGTCTTGATTTCCATACGGAACACCTGAAGCCTGGGGAGTTTTAGTGACTTGCCAAAGACCCCAGCACTGCTAAGTGGTGGAGGCAGAATGTGAACATAGTGGGTCTCACGTTGCTCTCCGTGTCCTGTGCCTGAGTCCTAAACCATTGGATACAGAGAGAGGATGCAACTTGGAAGTATCTGATTATGTGTTTTTGCAGTCTAAAAGGCAAAAAAGCCTTGACGTGTCACAGAACCTCAAACCCAGTAACAGGGTTACCGTGGGTCCCCAAGGGCCATGCGCATGCTTGGGGCTGGGGCCTGTCACGCTGCCGTCCTCAGGCTGAGTCGCAGACTTTTATCCGGTAGCTGAAGGATGCCGGCAAGGCCAGGAAAAGAACATGGTTCTTCTGAGGATTTGCTGTCTGGATCCTTTCCCATATACATATATTTTCCCTCTGGTTGAAGTTCAGGGCTACAATTCCTGTTCATTCCAGTCAGAATGTTGGCAGCTTGATCAATGATTTCCTGTGCCTTGATGATAAGTGGTGTTCCTCTTTAAGAGATCCATTTTTTTGTTTGTTTGTTTGTTTTTCCGGTACATGGGCCTCTCACTGTTGTGGCCTCTCCCGTTGCGGAGCACAGGCTCCGGACGCACAGGCTCAGCGGCCATGGCTCACGGGCCCAGCCGCTCCGCGGCATGTGGGATCTTCCCGGTCCGGGGCACGAACCCGCGTCCCCTGCATCGGCAGGCGGACTCCCAACCACTGCGCCACCAGGGAAGCCCTGATCCATTTGTATTTTGAAGGTTTCAATGCACTTTGATTTCTTTATAATGGAATTTCATTCAGATTAGCTTCCTAAGTGTGACCCTTTCCAGGACTCTTGGCCAAAATAAATTGTGCTAATGAGGAATAACAGAAACTTCAGGAAAATCATGTGCCCCTAAATTTCAGTCATGGCTATGGCCTTTGAGATCATCTAGTCCAGACTAGACAGGAAATTTGTAGATAAGGAAACGGAGTCCCAGGGAGGGAAGAAGGAGTATGGCCAGGGTCACGTCGCCACTTCTAGATCTTGCTACCGAAAGCACCTTCACTGAAGGGTGTAAGGATGGTATGGATTATTTTTCTAAGATTTGTCATGTCGAAAACCTAACACAAAATTCCAATGCATACTAGACTGGATTGTCAGTAAATATAGACACTAGAATTTTAGACTTTTGTGTGCTAGACACATAGGGCATTTTTTTCTTTTAATCTAGGAAGTTTTATGGTTTGTAAATGGTCTCTGTTTTTCTGATAAAGGTCATACATGTTCACCTTGTAGAACAGGGGTTGGCAGACTATGTTCTTCTGCCAGATGAGCCCCTTGCCTGTTTTTGCAAATCAAGTTTTATTGGTGCATAGCCACGCCCATTTGCTTACTTGCTGTCCACAGTGGCAGAGTTGAGTAGCTGAGGCAGAGACCCTGTGACCTGCAAAACCTAAAATATTTACTATCTGACCCTTTACAGAGAGAGTTTGCCCAATCATGCTGTAAAACATCTGAAAAAAACATACAGAGAAATGCCACTAAAAAAAAAATCAAGTATTCATATCTCACCCTTAGGGATTTAGGTTGATTTTAATTTTACCATTTTCATGGCTAAATATTTTGAAAATTCCTTATTGTTTCCTGAGGATAAATTCCTAGCATAACTGAGCCAGTGCACGAGAATGGTTTTTTAGGTTCCTGGTACTCAGTGCAGAATGTCTTTTGAGCTTGCATTCCCATCAGCAGTGCCCGTACTTTGCCAGCATTCAACAAACCAACACGACCTCCTTTGCTAATGGATTTGGTTTGCTTTCACCCATGTAGGGGCAGGTTCAAGGCGGTGGTCTGTGTCCTGTCTGCAGTTACAACGTGCCTGGCGTTTGTCAAGCCTGCCATCAACAACATCTCTCTGATGACCCTGGGGGTTCCTTGCACGGCGCTGCTCGTTGCTGAGCTAAGGAGGTGGGTGCAGGTCTTCCTGCCTGGCCCTGAGGCTGTCCCTGGGGTAGAAGCAAACCAGCTCCTGGTTCTTTTACTGCCCTTGAATGTGGAAGAGGAGTTACCCCTCACAGAGAGTAGTTCCTGACTTTTGGATTAGCATCAAGTTGCCTGGTTTGGTTCAAAATGTTAATGATCTCATTTTCAGAAAGAGGGGAGCAGTGTATGCAGTGCATCCCAATGGTTCGAAACTAGCTTAGGAGGAAACATCTCAAGGACCTGGTGAGTGCCTAGACGAAGCTGCCTAGAGTTAATTCTGTAGAAAGGAGAATAGATGTGCTCATGTGACAAGAATAAGGAGGAAAGCAAAGTCCTAGAGAGGCTATTGCATTTACATACAGAAGGAAAAAGAAATGAATGTCTATATACAAAGCAGCACTGCTACTTTCTCTGAGGCTTAGTTTCTTACAGTCTATCAGGTAAAGCCTTTGCTGTTTGCATAAGCATTTTCTTGTGGGAAGTTGTATGTGCAGAGTTCAGGTTGATATCCAGAAACATTTTAGTTTAGCTCTTGTACGTTTATGACTGTCTTATTCAGCCCCAATTAAAACACAACTCAACCACTGCCCTTATTGTAATACTCTTTGAAAATGCTTCTTTTTCTCTGCACTCACTTGTAGACATCCATTTTAATTCATGACTCATGGTCATGGACATAGATGCTCTTAATTGAAGTCTTATATTTATCTACCTTAGTGAGAGTTTCTCTGTGTAATGTGTTATAAGCTTTCTCTCAGTCTTTGTTTTGAGTGGAGACATGTATATATTTCTTTCCATTGCTTTGCCTCTGTGTGTTGTTTTGATTATCAGCAATACCAGGCAGGGACAGAGGTGGTTGAAGAGGTATTTAAACTTGCTGGCTGGCAGTGGAAAGACTCTGCCCTGTCTTGTCTTGTTTTGTCTTGTCGGCTTTGAGTAGCCTTCACGGACCTGGGAAGTAAGAGACCCATTTCAGAATACTAACAGATCTTAAAACTCCAGAACACTAACAGATCTTAAAACTCTTTGGAAAACAATTATTGGGTTGGCCAAAAGTTTCATTCGTTTTTTTCCATAAGATGGCTCTAGTAGTACTTAGTTGTCTTTAACTTCATTCAAAACAATTTTGTTAGATTGTATGTGACAGCTGTCATATCAGCGTGCATTTAAAAAAACCACTTATCGGGACTTCCCTGGTGGCGCAGTGGTTAAGAATCCACCTGCCAATGCGGAGGATGCGGGTTTGAGCCCTGGTCCGGGAAGATCCCACATGCTGCAGAGCAGCTAAGCCCGTGCGCCACAACTACTGAGGCTGTGTGCCACAACTGCTGAGCCTGTGCTCTAGAGCCCGTGAGCCACAACTACTGAAGCCCGTGCGCCTAGATCCCGTGCTCTGCAACAAGAGAAGCCACCGCAATGAGAAGCCCGCGCACCGCAACGAAGAGTAGTCCCCACGTGCCGTAACTAGAGAAAGCCTGTGCACAGCAGCCAAGACCCAATGCAGCCAAAAATAAATTAAAAAAAAGACTTATTAAAATTGGTGAATTTTTGTGGCCATTTTGATATGGAAGATGGAAGAAAAAAAGCAACATTTTTGGCTGACTATGCTTTATTATTTCAAGAAAGGTAAAAATGCAACCAAAATGCAAGAAAAGATTTGTGCAGTGTATGGAGAAGGTGCTGTGACTGATCGAACATGTCAAAAGGGTTTGTGAAGTTTCGTTCTGGAGATTTCTCGCTGGATGATGCTCCCCGGTCGGGTACACCAGGTGAAGTTGATAGTGATCAAATCGAGACGTTAATTGAGAACAGTCAACATTATACCATGAGGGAGACAGCCGACATACTCAAAATATCCAAATCAAGCGTTGAAAATCATTTGCACCAGCTTGGTTATGTTCATGGCTTTGATGTTTGGGTTCCACGTAAGTTAAGCGAGAAAAACCTTCTTGACCGTATTTCTGCATGCGATTCTCTGCTTAATCGTAATGAAAACCTTCCATTTTTAAAACAAATTGTGACGGGCAGTGAACAGTGGATGCTGTACAATAATGTGGAATGGAAGAGATCGTGGGGCAAGCGAAATGAACCACGACCAACCACACCTTCATCCAAAGAAGGTGATGTTGTGTATATGGTGGGATTGGAAGGGAGTCCCGTATTATGAGCTCCTTCTGGAAAACCAAACGATTAATTCCAACAGATACTGCTCCCAGTTAGACCAACTGAAAGCAGCACTCGGCAAAAAGCATCCGGAATTAGTCAACGGAAAACGCATAATCTTCCATCAGGATAACGCAAGACCGCATGTTTCTTTGATGACCAGGCAAAAACTGTTACAGCTTGTCTGGGAAGTTCTGATTCATCCATCGTATTCACCAGACGTTGCACCTTCGGATTTCCATTTATTTCGGTCTTCACAAACTTCTCCTAACAGAAGAATTTTCATTTCCCTGGAAGACTGTAAAAGGCATCTGGAACAGTTCTTTGCTCAAAAAGATTAAAAGTTTTGGCTGAGTAATATTCCATTGTATATATGTGCCACATCGTCTTTATCCATTCCTCTGTCGATGGGCACTTAGGTTGCTTCCGTGTCCTGGCTATTGTAAATAGAGCTGCAGTGAACATTGTGGTACATGACTCTTTTTGAATTATGGTTTTCTCAAGGTATATGCCCAGTAGTGGGATTGCTGGGTCATATGGTAGTTCTATTTGTAGTTTTTTAAGGAACCTCCATACTGTTCTCCATAGCGGCTGTATCAATTTACATTCCCACCAAGAGTGCAAGAGTGTTCCCTTTTCTCCACACCCTCTCCAGCATTTATTGTTTGTAGACTTTTTGATGATGGCCATTCTGACTGCTGTCAGGTGATACCTCACTGTAGTTCTGATTTGCATTTTTTTTGATAATTAGTGATGTTGAACATCTTTTCATGTGCTTTTTGGCCATCTGTATGTTTTCTTTGGAGAAATGTCTATTTAAATTTCCATTTATTTTGGTCTTTACAAAATTCTCTTACTGGAAAAAATTTCAATTCCCTGGAAGCCTATAAAAGGCACCTGGAACAGGTGCTCAAAAAGATAACACATTTTGCGAAAGTGGAATTATGAAGTTGCCTGAAAAATGGCAGAAGGTAGTGGAACAAAAGGATGAATATGTTCAATAAAGTTCTTGGTGAACATGAAAAGTGTGTCTTTTATTTTTACTTAAAAACTGAAGGCACTTTTTGGCCAACCCGATAAATTGCCGATAAAGACATCTGGATGGATTTGTGGCAGTCAGTCCAGTGATGCTGCCTGCTGTTAGGCCTGAAGTCAACAGAATGTTCTGCTCTTCCCTACGTTTCTTGAGAATTCATTGCAATCTTGTTGTCATTTTAACTCCTGAGTCTAATCATCTGTTTTAGTCTCTAATTTTGTTAAAAGGCAGCTAAGGAAAGGGCAACTTCTAAATTCATGTCACCTAAACAGGAGCAAGTGAAAGGCAAGTGGCGAGGGCAGATGATTTTAAGGTTTAAATTCTGCTTCACAGCTGTGATCTTTAAGCAGGGAAACATATCTTTCTGTAATATTCCAACCTTTGCAAGTAACTACAGAGGAAATAATTTCTGTTCCATACTTAAATTCTTGGCCCCGAAAAAGCTAGTCCTCACTACTGCTAATTGGTCTTCATCACGACATTAGCAGATTGCCACATCATGGGAAGTATCCCCGCTTCCACCTAGGGTCAGCCTTTCTGCCCCTTGATAATTCCCTCTTCTCCTATGCTTAGTTTACCCCTGTAAGTTGTCTACTGTGTCACTCCTCCCTCTCCAAAGGATCCATCCCATTAGCCTGCAGCCGTGTTTGAGTTTCCCCCATCTTCTCTAACACCCAAACCTGGACTCAGTCACATCTGTCTCCAGCCATCACCCTTTCTCTCCCCTGTCTGTCGCAGCCACACTTATTTAAAAGTTGTCTCCAGGGAATTCCCTGGCCGGTCCAGTGGTTAGCAGTCGGAGCTTTCACGGCTGTGGCCCGGGTTCAATCCCTGGTCGAGGAACTAAGATCCTGTAAGCCATGTGGCGTGGCCACACACACACACACACACACACACACACACACGCACGTAAATAAATAAAAGTTGTCTCCATCCATCACCTCTCATTTAGTCTTCAGGCCACTCCAGTCTGGCTTCTGTCCCCACTTCAGTACCCAAACCCTCTTGGTTGTGCGTCCAGTGGTCATTTTTCTGTCCTCCTGAATCTCAGCTCTCTGCACAATTCACCCCCTCATCCTTGGAACATTCTTTCCCATGATTCCTATGACACCACGCCCTCCTGAGTTTCTACCAACTCTCCGGCAGGTCCTCTCAAGCCCCTCTTGTAAGCTCCTTCTTTTCTATGCACCTGTCCATGTAGGGACCCCATAAGGTACACCCTCACCTCTCTGCTTTTCTCCCACTATATTTCCCCCTACAACCTCTCGTCTACTCCATGGCTTTAATTCCTGTACGTATGCAAATGGCTCTAACCCAGTCCTTCCTTCTACTCCACCACTGTGTATCTAGCTGCCTGCCTGACCTCTCCAACTCCACGTGTCACAGGCATCTCAAATCCAACTTATCCAAACCCAGATTCCTGATCTCCCTTTCCAGTTCTGGCTCTCTTAATATTTCCAGCCTCAGTAAATTAGAGCACCATTTACCCATTTGCTCAAGCCGGAGGTCTGGCTTCCTCTTCCTTCCCCAGTCATCTCATCTGATCATCATTATTTTTCTATTGGTTGGCATCACAATTAGGTTAAAGTTCAAAATCCTCCACGTGGTCCCTGCCTGTGGATCTCTCCCCCACAAAGCTCCCCTTACATTCTGTCCTCCAGCCATTCTGACCTTCCGTGTCCCCAAGGGGGCCTGGCTTCTCCCGGCTCCAGGTCTGGGTGCATGCTGTCCCTTCTTTCTGACCCTCTTGCTTGGTTCATTTCTGCTCATCCTTCAGGTTTTGGCTCAACCATTTATATGCTCTCAGAGCATCCCATACTTCTCCTTTATGGCCCCCATCTTGGTTGTAATTTAAAAAGTATTCGTGCTGTTGTTTTGCTCAATGTCTGTCTCCTCTGCTTGACGTAACTCCACGTGGGCAGGGACGAGGACCCCGTACACTGCTGTGTCACGCTTCCCACTCAAGTCCCGGAGAGGAAAGAGAAGATGCTTGTTGGCCTGCTTTGATAACATCCCCAGCAAGAAGATGCCCTGTCGCTCTTGTCATGTCCTTCCAGAGTGTTCCCTGCTTGTCATCAGCAATGATCTGTCATGTCTCAGCTAAATGTTCCTCATCCCACCTCCCTCTGCTCAGAACAGATAGGGGAGGGGCTGTTTTTTAGCTTTCCATTTCTCATTAGCCTCATTCCTAGAGCTTGTTTCTAGTCTTTTCATACATTCATTGTCCTTATTAAACCTTCTCTCACACCAGGAGGAAACAAAATTTACTTATGTCTGGGGGTCGTGACCTGACAGTGACTGACATTTGTGTTGTCACATCACCAAGTGACTCAGCTGTGTTGAGAATATTTTGAAATAGACTTTTTCTGATTATAGGAGTGAATTTATTGTTAAGGAAAACCTTGAGAGCACAACAAAGGGTCAAGAAGAGAAGAAACGACAGCCATCCTCTCAGTTTTTCTATCCTAAAATAGGGTCCTGATACATATGTGTGTATATATATGACTTGTGTCCTGCTTTTCCCGTTTAACGTTACATTGACATTGTGATATAAGCCCTGAAAAGTGGGGATAAAACCTGATGAAGCGCAGGTTTGGGCAAGCCTCAAGTTCATGTAGCCCTTGTTAGTGGTGTACAGCAGGACCTGTGTCTCTGGAAGCAGAGAAAGGGTCAGTACCAGGTACCCTGAGTCCCTGGCTCTGCAGGACTTTGTTTTCCCTCCCTGCTTCACAAGTGTCAGCCCCGCCCCGCCTCTTCCGTGACCACCTGCCTTTCAGCCTCTCTTGCCACCTACACTGCATCTGCAGCTCTCTGTGCTGGTGTGGCCCTTAAGCCAGATTTCCTAGGTTTAGTTAAATTGAGCTTACATAGTTCCTGTTATACCAGGCTAACTGTCTACATATAGTTGATGCTTGTTTTTGTTAGTTTTCATTTTACCTTTTAACATGGCAAGAGGCCTGTTTATTATTATTATTTTTTATAAATTTTTATTTTATTTTTGGCTGCGTTGGGTCTTCGTTGCTGCATGTGGGCTTTTCTCTGGTTGCCGCGAGCGGGGGCTACTCTTCACAGTGGTGCGCGGGCTTCTCATTGTGGTGGCTTCTCTTGCTGCAGAGCACGGGCTCTAGGCGTGCGGGCTTCCGTAGTTGTGGTACATGGGCTCAGTAGTTGTGGCTCATGGGCCCTCGAGCGCAGGCTCAGTAGTTGTGGCACACGAGCTTAGTTGCTCCGCGGCATGTGGGATCTTCCCAGACCCGGGCTCGAACCCACGTCTCCTGCATTGGCAGGCAGATTCTTAACCACTGCGCCACCAGGGAAGCCCAGGCCTGCTTATTTTGCCTTGTACAGTGCCTGGTGTGGATTCTGAGAATTTGGTACCCAATCAATATTGTTACTGTTTTTTTTTTTAATCTAAAAAAATGTTCTGATCAGATCACTAGGAGGCAGTTAAAATAAAGAAGTGAAGGACAGTTTTATCTGTTCATGGAGCAAGCCTTATTTTTAAGTGCTTATTCTGGACCAGGCACTGTTGCTAGATGCTGGATATACATTAGTAAAAGAGTAGGCCTAGTTCCTGCGCTCATTGGTCTTACAGTCTAGGCGGATACTAGGTATTAACAAACACTTAAACAAATACACGATCTCAGCCTGTGATGCATGTTATGAGGGAAGATGGCAGGGCCCCAGGAGAGAATGTGATGGGGGAGTTCGATGGTACTTGGGCTGTCAGAGAAAGTCTATTTGAGAAAGTGCCCTTGAAGCTGAGACCTGCAGGGGTGGAGAAAAATGGGCAGAGTGAGGGGACAGGGCTCTGGGAGAGGGGCTGCGGGTCCAAGGGTGAGCCGTTCAGAGGAGAGTGTGCTGAAGAGAAGACGGAAAATGGAAATTGTTCATCTCTGTTTTCGTCACTAAACTGGAAAGTACTCACTACTTATGTTGTGGGCTCTATTAATTCTTTCAAAAATTTTTTCAAGTGGTGCATTTAGCCCTCCTACCGACAGGGTTTCTCAGTTTGTTTTTTGAGCGGGTCTCTCTGAGCCTGCTGTCCATCCCGTTTTCACTGACGCTTTTACTCACGTTTCTGTCAGGCAGCTGGGAAAGGTCCCAGCAAGTCAGGCTTCTGACACCGTCTACTCGTTCAACAAATATGAACCAATGCTGACCCTGAGAGTGAGCGAGCTTGACTGACCGGGGAGCAGTCCTTTAAGGGAAAGAGACCCTGAGGGAGGGTTCAGAGGACCCTCAGCCACCAACTGCCTCTGGGCATTTCTCCCTAGGAATAGAAGTCACCCACTTTGCGAGCCATTTGGTGACAAGGAAAGAGAACGGCAGCTGAAATTTCCTTTGAGCTGTTGGGGTTTATTTCAGAAACGCTTTTGTTCCAGCGTGCGTTCAGGAGTGCTGTGAGTCTCCTATGTGCCTGGCGCTGTCCCAGGGGCTGGAGGTGCAGCAGTGAGCAGCTTACCTGCTGGTAGGAGATAGGTCTTAAATATATAAGGAAAACACGGAGGATGTCAGCGGGGCTGTAGTCGCTACAGAGAGAACTAGAGGAGGGAAGAAGGTGATCGCGAGGGTCACTTAGGGGGTAGAAACAGGTGGTGCGATTGTTAGGAACAGTGCTCAGCAGAGGGCTCACTGAGTGACATCTGAGCAAAGACTTGGAGGTGGCGAGCCGCGTGTATATCTGGGAACAGCATTCCAGGTGGCAGGAGCGGCAAGTGCTAAGGCCTGGAGGAATGTGCCCAGGATTTTGGAGGAATGGCAGAGGTCCCTGGGGGGTTTGATGAGCAGAGGCAGTGAGGGGCAGAGTATGGAGGACGGGGGTGGAGCACAGAGGAGAAGCCAGCACACTGGGGCCTCGTGGCCTCCGTGAGCACTTTGGCTTGCCCTCTGGGAGAAGGGAAGCAGTCGGAGGCTTTTGGGCAGGGTGTTGAGGGGTGACTGTAGGAGCGGGGCTGGATGGAGGCAGTGGCTGTAACTCAGGCAGGAGGTGATGGTGGCTTGGACCCAGGTGGACGTGATGGAAAGAGGTCAGATTTTGGATATATATTGAGGGGCTGATGGATTGGATGTGGGGTGGGTGAGAAAGACAACAAGGACTCCAGAATTCTTGGCCTGAGGTCCTGAAAGCACAGAGTGACCTCTTCCTGAGAGGGCTGGGAGAAGGACGGGCATTGGGCAGAAGGAAGGATTTAGGAGTACGTTGTGGACGTGTAAACTTTAGATCAACACTGGGCATCGGGTGGACATGTCAAGAATGTGACATGTGGTTTGTTAAGTCTGGAGTCAAGGAGAGGCCTCGGTGAGGAGTGTGGCTTTTTGAGCCATCAGGGTACATACGGTGTTTACATCCGTGAGCACGTGTGACGGGGCGTTGGGTGGGAACCCCGGTGCCAAGGGGCCAGGGAGGCAAGAGGAAGCAGAGAAGAAGTGGCCAGCAAGGCAACGGGAGCCAGGACTGACACGAGCTGTTCTCTGTATCCCCGGGCAGGTGTGACAACGTGCGTGTTTTTAAGCTGGGCCTCTTCTCGGGCCTCTGGTGGACCCTCGCCCTCTTCTGCTGGATCAGTGACCGGGCCTTCTGTGAGCTGCTGTCGTCCTTCCACTTTCCCTACCTGCACTGCGTGTGGTGAGCCCCGCTCGTGGTGGGGTGGGTGGTCACCAGGCAGGGTCTGCCCTCGCTGTCACTCCGTTCTCCCTGCGCGGGGCGCAAGTGTACACGGGACAGAGCTGAGCCTGGGTGCCTCCTCTCCTCAAGTAGACTGTCAGACGTTTCAGAAGCGATAGAAAAAGCAGAAAGAGCGCCAGGGAGCAGGCCTAGCCAGAACAAACAGACCTAATTGTCTGTGCTTCGTGTCTGTGGTCTCTCACCTCTAGTTCCATTATTAAAGCAGAAAGGAGCTTGGAACTTGAATCCGTAACCTGAGCTCTAGCTAGACCTCCAGGGTGGGGTAAGGTGGCGAAGGCTTGGGACAGATGTGATGTGCGGATAGGACGGTCCTGAATAGGAACCAAGCACGCCTTTTGAGCCTGAGTGACCAGCCTGGGCCTCACAGGTCACCTAGGGACAGTCTCTTTGGCTTTGTTCAGGATCACCCACCTGGTGACATCAAACCAGTCTAGGAACTCAGTAATGGGGAATTGGAGCATCTACAGTTTAGAAGGCTCAGGATACACTGTTAAGAAAAAGAAAGCTACAAAACAGCACGCAGAATCCCATACTCAGAAAGCTGAGGAGGAAACCCAGTGGTGTTCTTCCTGGGAATAATCAGATGTACAGATTTTAACTGTGTAGTCTGGTAAATTTTGATAAATGTATCCACCTGTGTAAATAGGCTCTCACTGAAGATATAGTACGTTTTTAATCGATCCAAGCTCCCTTATCATACAGTGATATAAGTAAAATTCAAAAAGTTGACTGTAATAACTTGGATTCCAACTTAATTTGTTTCTAAATTTGGTGTACTTTCTGAGGTTGTTTTTTTTTTTCCCCCCAAAGTTGAACCATTTTCTGAGACTTCCCCTGTGGTCCAGTGGTTAAGACTCCGTGCGTCCACTGCAGGGGGCGCAGGTTTGATCCCTGGTCGGGGAACTAAGATCGCACATGCTGTGTGGTGTGGCCTCAAAATAAAAACAAAAACAAAGTTGAACCATTTTTTCATCCCAGTTGTAAAGTGACATATTTATTTATTATAACAAATTTAAGCAATAGGTAAGTATAGAAAGGGAGACTCATAATTCTGTCCACCAAAGAGAGAGAACAATTGTTAACAGCCTGAAGTGTATCCTTCCAGGTGCTTTATATACGTAGTTCTCTAATACTCCTTTTAAAAGCAAAAATAACATCATTCTATACATGATGCATATTGGTCCTTCTTTTGTTGTTTAAACTAAATACTAGATCATAGCTTTCCTTACCAGTGCGTTTATATTATCTTCAACAGTTTTTGTGTCCAGTTAATACCGCACAACATGGATGCTTTATAATTCATTTAACCAACCTCTCTATTAATGGATATGTAGGTTATTTCTAACTTTGCACTTCTACAAATAGTTGGTAATGAACATCTGTATTTGTTCATGTGCCTGAATTGTGTCCTTATGTTAAATTATAATATGTTGCCAAATCCAGAGATATTATATCAACTAACACTTTTTACTAAAATCTGTAAGATAGTAAAAGTGTAAGATACACTTTCACATATACTGGATATTAGTAACTTTAAAAAAATCTTTGTTAACCTGAAAAGATTTTATTTTTATTTTCATGTCTTTTAAAAAAATTAGTATTTTGTTGGGCATCTTTTCAAATGTAAAATTACTATATCTTTCCTCTTTTGAAATGCGCCTTTTAAGTTTCTTTATCGTCCCTGTGGAGTGTTTCCATTTTTAAAAGTTTATATCCAGCACCTAGCGCCTGACACATAGGAGACAGTCATTACTGTTTACTACCTATAGGCCATTTATTGGGCACACTTGCAACATTTTCAAAAGTACAGAGAATAATACATGGGGCCCCCAGGTAGGCAGCACTTAGCTTCAGTAGGATCTACATGAGGCCAATCTCATTCATGCCACCTTCACCCACTACCCACCCACACCCGGATTATTTAAAGCAAATCCCAGACACCCTATGAGATGTTAGTCTTTTGGTTCTTTGTAAGATAGGGATTTTAATTCTTTGTCACATGGTGCAAATATTTACCCCCAGTTTCCCATTTATCTTTCAGTATGTTAATGATATTGTGTGCCATACTGGTTTAAAATTTTCATGTTCTCACATCTGTCAGTCTTTTCCTTTAGGTTTTTTTTTTTCTCTCCCTTCTGTACGCATTACAGTGTGACTGTGACATCCCTTAAATGACACTGTTCTCAAGTAAGCAAACTGGCAGTACTCTTACAGCCATCTTTATTCCATGCGTTTTTAAATGTAGAGACGTGCGTTACACGTGGCTCTCACAGCCATTCCCTTTAGGGTTTCTGAACTTTGTGTCATTCTAAGAAAGGCCTTCCCTACCAAAGTTTATAAAAATATTTTCTTTAATTATGTCTTTAAATGTATTTTAAGTCTTTAATTCATCTGGAGTTAAGTTTCAGTATAAGGTACAAAAGTAGGATTACGTGCCTTTAAATGGTCCCTTGCATGATAAAGATCAATATGAAAACTTTTTACAGGCACAGTGAATTTAATAATAGTAATAAAAAAGAGTTCCCTTACTAAAGTGCAAAAGCAGATGAATCAGTATAAAATTATTCCTAATGAAGGGCGTCAGATATGTACAGCCGATTATTAAAGCTAGAAGGGTGGGGGGACTAGTTCCCCATGCTCATCGGTTATTTCCTTAGTGCCTCTGTTTTATTTATTTTGTTTTTTTAGTTTAATTCATTAATCAATTTATTTACATGTCAATCCCAACTCCCAGTCTATCCTTCCCCCCCTTCTTCCTCCCTGGGAACCAAAAGTTCCGTTCTCTAAGTCTGTGAGTCTGTTTCTGTTTTGTGAATAAGTTCTTTTTGTTTGTTTGTTTAAGATTCTGCATATAAGTGATATCATATTAGTGCCTCTGTTTTAAATCCTGGGGCCTCGGTCTTCTCGGCTGAGCCCCAAAGGCATTTGCAGGTTTTTCCTGTTATCAAGCTGGAATGTTTTAGAACATTCCAAAAGAGGCTTTGTTGGCTCAGGAGTTACCATTCTTCTGCTATTCCAGGGATTGTTGGGCAACCTCACCCCTTCTTACTTAAAGGAGGCCCCTGCCTGTCTTTGCATCCAGGAGAGGCAGGTTAGCCGGAGGGAGGAACGGGCTAAACCCGAGCACAGTCTTACTTGCGTCGGGTTCTCTCAGTTCTCACGCCGCCGCGTCTCCATCACAGGCACGTCCTCATCTGCCTGGCCGCCTACCTGGGCTGCGTGTGCTTCGCCTACTTTGATGCTGCCTCCGAGATACCCGAGCAAGGCCCTGTCATCAAGTTTTGGCCCAGCGAGAGATGGGCCTTCATCGGTGTCCCCTACGTGTCCCTTCTGTGCGCCAACAAGAAATCACCGGTCAAGATCACGTGATGGCAAGGCAGTGGCTGGCCTCTCTGCTTACCTTCTCTCACGCACCTAAACTTCATCTGCCAGCAGAGACAGCCAGGGGGTTCGCAGAGTCGGGGATGGGGTCTGTCTTTTAAAAATTCAGTGCCCTTGGGTTCTAACTAGTGTGTCTGTGGACCGCCAGGACTCCACGGTGCCTGGGGAGCAGCGGGTGTCTTCCCCTTTCCCAAAGATGGGAAGTAGAGGGCCGAGGGGCACTAGGTGTGTCTTCTCAGTGTCACCTCCAGCTGCAGTGCTCATTGGGCTGCGTCCTTTATGGTGATGGCAGAGCCGTCCCGTGGGGGACCCAGCGCTGCACACGCCTCGCTTCCTGGTGAGAGTTTGCTCCAGATCCCACCGTTCCCATGTGCTCTCGGAGCGGACCCTCCCTTGACAGACAAATCCTGCGCCCGACAAGACCCTCTGACTGTATGATGGAAGAGGCTAGAGATTTTCATTTGGGGAAACTGTCCTGAAACGGAAGCAAACAAATGGAACACACACAGGGCTTGTGGCTAAGGAGGCTGGTTTCCCCCCTTGCATCTCTCCGTAACCCAGGGTTTACATACACGTGTGCATCCTTTTCCTGCTACCTCTTCTGAGAGATGGGAACTTGACTTTAGATCAGGGTGAAGCTAACAAGAAAAACCCTCCGCGTATGCCAAAAACGACACTCCACTTTAAGCCGTTCTTGAAGATAAGCACAAGTTTTAAATGCTGACACGGTCCCCGCCCCCCAGCCCAGTACCTTCCAACACACAAAGAGAAGACTAGCTACGGTGTGCGTGGTGTGAGCGTTCCGTGCAGAGACCCACCCCTTTACTGCTTGACCTCTGTGACATTGCCAACGGCCTGTGACAATCGTGGTAGGGGTCCTGGTTCAAACTGGAGCAAACATGACGTTTTAGAAGTTGTTCTCATTGGAAGCCTCCTGTATGCTGTCCTATTCCGGAAGTTATCCTCAAGAATCTTGCCGCTTCTGTCTTTGATATTTACTGTGGGAATTAACACTCCGCATCCTCACAGTATGAGGTGCTTCCTGTGGTTTCTCCGCGCCGGCGTTTGACCACGTGCTTTTCTTAAGTGCTGGCCTTAACTACACACTGGCTGCTTTGGGTGCAGCAGGGCAAATCTCTTGCCTTCTGAGTTCTCCCCTAAAGTGACACTGGCTGCAACTGCTGTCCTCTTCACTGGCCTGAATGGGAGACTCCACATATGTCTTCAAGGTGCGAGGTGGGAATTCGTGACCTCAGGGATACTCATTTTAACTCAGGCATCTCTTGCTTTGCAACATTCCATCACGGGAGAGGGCAGAACAGATGTGTCCTTCTTGTGTGGATGGGAATCATGTCACTGTCCTAAGTATTTAAGAGTTGGGCAGTAGCAGTTTTTGGCTTGTCCAGGAACTCTTACACTGGTTAAAATTTGCACAGAATTGCAGGTGAAAAGTCCAAGAAGCAACTGAATTTAGATTTTAGAAATGAGTGACTTTATTCTACTTCTGTGGTTTTCAAATTATTTTAGCAGCAGAACCCTGTTTGCAGTAAGAAATCTTT